GGTTTTTAAACCTTTCAATGCCGGACAGGGGGGAAGACCTATAACTACTAAGAACAGGGTAACCCTACAATGTTAGGGATAATGATTTGTTTTCCTTACGTTGTAGTGTTCCTTTAAATTACAAATTTAATTATAGTAAGACATTTAGGACAAAAAAATTATTGCAAATAATCATCAGAAACTCAATTTCTGGATTATAAAGTGACTCATACATTTCCTTCCATGTAAAGTCCAGAAGATGGAGTATATTTGCCTACAAAAGACCATATAGTAGAAATATTGTCTGTCCTCTTTATAATCAGTTAATATTTATGACCCTGATGGATAGACAAGGCTTGCATAATACGTAGTACTTAGATAACATCTGTGTGTGAAATAAAGCAGGATACATATATCCTGCACATGTTATTTGCACATATTTAAAGAAAGCAGGTACATATTCATTAAATAGCATTTTGGTTGATATTTGTAATCATATGTACACTTTTACAGTACAAATAATAATAGATAAAAAAATTATGGCATATTCTTCTAGGTTTTGTAACAAACATAGTTCCTTGCAAGTATCTTTTACGTTCTCTTTCTGATTTTCATCAAACACTCAAGGTACTCCTTTACAAATCCACTATTGAATTATTAAAAAAAGAAAGCTTCATATTCCTGAAGCTGCATATCCTACTAGTATTGGAGAGCTAATCAGAAACTGACAGTCATTTAGCAGAAATCCCACCAGTTAGTTACACAAATGTATTCTTCAGAAAAAAGGAAACACAAATAAATAATGAGGTTCTCAACTTTCCAGAGGACTATCACATTAAACATAAAATAAACGTTTTCTATCATATAGTGGTATAGTAGAAGACTTTAAGATTTGTTTAAGTTCGAGATGCATTTCGTCCAAACATGGACCAATTGGGTGATTGGTCAAATTCCTGAACTGTGAACCAAAATGTAGCCGAATCATGAACCAACCAAACATGCAAAGGGAAAAAAAGGATGATTAATGGCTTGGGAACAGTCACTAATGTTGATTTTATTCACAGATCAAGTGAGAAGTGACCAATAGAGGGAAAAAGGAAGAGCAGTAAAACCATTACGCAATTACACCAGTATACACACTATTTTTTTATTATAAATTTTTTTTTGGTACTTTATTGGAATAATAACTCAATAATACACTTTTCCATAGTATGAGTTAGTGTAAAATGGGAACATTGTAATAAGCTATCGGCTTCAGACAATAAGCATAATAATAGTATACACAATAAGCTCTAAATATGCATAACATTGTATGTCTAATGTAAAAAACCTGTAGTAATTTCAGTTGGCCCCCATTTAACTATAGTATAGTAGGTGAGAAAGATAGTTGAGTAATTTAAACTAAAGAAATTATACATGGGAAAAATTCACTCTCGTTTAACTAATAAGCCATATGGAGAGCATATACATTAAGTAGCAATTGGGTGTCTTATCACCTTTCTCCTGTTTTGCGGAGGGACAAATTGAAGCTAGGAATGAAGTTTCAGGTTGCAGTCTCTGACTGTGTGCGGAGACCGAGTTCCGGCTGTTTTAGCCTCCCCTAGGCATAGTGTTGTCAAGTTCAATCTCTGAAGGAAAGCCTCTGAGTGTCCAGAGGAGGATAAATTAAGCGTTGTGTCCTCCCGCTTAACTTCTAGTGAGCCGTCTATTCCCCAGCGCTATTCTATCTCTGAGTCTCGTAATCATTTAGCGATCGGGGCCAACTGCCTCTTCTCCATGAGTACTGCGAACGGTAGGTCAGCATAAATTGCCACTATGCTGCCTTCAAATTGGATGTTGACCAACTCTCTAGATCGAGGGCTGATAGCAGATTGTGCTGTCACATCCTTAGTCACAGCTATGATATCTCTGGGTGCTTCCATAGGTGCTGATGCTGTTTTGTGGACCCTAAATGTAGACACCAACAACGAGTCACCATCTCTTTTCTTAAGACCCAGAGAGGCTATCATACACTGCAGAAAGGGGAGCAGATCATGCCCTCAGATTCATTTGGGAACACCTCTGAGGTGAATGTTTCGGTGTCTGTCTGGAATAGAACACCTTCACCGTTTGGGTAAGTTTCTGGGCCTGTTTAACTAGTGTATCCATTGATCCTGTGTGGTCTTAATCTGGGTGTCTGGTGCATCCTCTCTGGACTCAACTTCGCTGACTCTTTGTTGGAGTGCCCCCACGTCTGTTTGTGTCTCTTGAAGGTCGGCTTTCCATACCTTCCGGAAGTCTAGTAAGAGCATTTTGATGCCTTGTTTTGTGGCTGGTGAGGAATCGTCATCCGGGTTGGATTCTTGTTGTGTGCTACCGACTGAAGGTTAAGCAGTCATCTCCTCTTCCTTTTGGGATTCCTCTGAGGCCTCTATATTGTTCTGCACCTCAGGCGCCATCTTAGGGAGAGTCTGTGGTATAGGCCTCTGAAATGAAAGCCAACTATCAGGTAATCTCAAGATCTCTGGATAGCAGAGTATTTGTACTTTCGCCCCATAATGTTCTCTGGGGGGGAGGGGGAGGACGTAAAAAGTTGGCTTGATTTTCAGTTGCATTTCTGCAGCAAAGCTCCTCGGTTAGACGTCTGTGTTGCTGCTTAGTCGGCCACGCCCCACCAGTATACACACAATTTAACGAAAAACAAGTGTATTGCTATATGCATGTAACACAAAAGAATAACAAATAACTCAATATAAGGAAGTGAGCAGGTCCTCTGGAACACTGAAGTTTTGCACAGGAAAGCAGTTTGGTCTGGAACTCTGAGGGTTTGCACAAAAAAGCAGCTTGATCTGGAACTCTGGGGGTTTGCACAGGAAAGCAGTTTGCTCTGGGATACAGGGGGTTAGTACAGGAAAGCAGCTTGCTCTGGAATACTGAGTGTAACACAGGAAAGCAGCAAACTCTGGAACACTGATGGTGATACAGGGACCAGACCTAAAATAATATTAATGAACTGGCCAACAAGAGGAGGCAAGTCTAAGCTAAATAGGGAGGACATAATAACAATGAAGGGCCAGCTGGGAACAAAGTCAAATCTCTTCAGTGTGGGTGCAGTAGCTTAGAACAGCACCAGAGAAAGGTAGTGACACTGGGAGGTACTGCACCAGACTAAAAAGAGAAAACAGAATCGTCAGAGCAAGTTTAGTAGATAGTAATGGACAATTTAGAAAATAGCAAGAAAGATTATGTCACACATTGTTTTGTATACCTTATAACCTAGACTATAACTGATACACTGATTGGCCTATATTTTGAACTCTTTTGAGTCATCTGATTTGTTTCCTGAATCAATTTTTTGGAACTGAGATTCTGACAAGCCAAACTGACATAAGGCCAAAAATTTGTCCATCTCAAACAAAATTATTATTTTTTAGGTTCAGCCAAACAAAATGTTCTCACTGTGCATGTCTAGTAAGCAACAATGATTATGTAACAAAGCACAACAGGCCGCATCTAATAATACACAAGTAAAATATGTGCATAAAAAACATGAAAAAGTCCAAGGGACACAGTCCAACATTTTCAATTTGTCGCCAAGAATTCTTGCTTTTTATAGAGCTGGGAGATATTTTGGTGGCTCCATAAAAGAAATAGAAAGGAGAACCAATAGTGTAGTATTTCTTGATACATGGAAGTCACACAACTAGTGATGTCGCGAACATAAAATTTCGGTTCGCGAACGGCGAACGCGAACTTCCACAAATGTTCGCGAACCGGCGAACCGGAGAACTGCCATAGACTTCAATAGGCAGGTGAATTTTAAAACCCACAGGGACTCTTTCTGGCCACAATAGTGATGGAAAAGTTGTTTCAAGGGGACTAACACCTGGACTGTGGCATGCCGGAGGGGGATCCATGGCAAAACTCCCATGGAAAATTACATAGTTGATGCAGAGTCTGGTTTTAATCCATAAAGGGCATAAATCACCTAACATTCCTAAATTGTTTGGAATAACGTGCTTTAAAACATCAGGTATGATGTTGTATCGATCAGGTAGTGTAAGGGTTACGCCCGCTTCACAGTGACAGACCAAACTCCCCGTTTAACGCACCGCAAACAACCGCAAACAGTCCATTTGCACAACCGCAAACTCCCCATTTGCACAAGGTTGGATACCAAGCTAGCCATGTCCCGTTCCTTGTCCTCACTGATGTCATTGAAGGTCTCTTCCTCCACCCAGCCACGTACAACACCAAGGGTCCCCGAAAGGTGACAACAAGCCCCCTGGGACGCCTGCTGTGTTTGTTCTTCCACCTCCTCAAAGCCACCTTCCTCCTCTGACTCCTCTTCTTCAGACTCCTCTCTCTGCGTTGCCTCTCTCTGCGTTATTATAAGGTGTGTTAAGTAGTACTATTCCTATCAGTTTAATCCCTGTTACGTCCCCTATCAGGGGACGTGTATATGGCATCGATTTTAGGAACCGGGAGATGGAAAAAGATGCTTGGTCGGTCCTCCTACTTCAAATTTGGGGCACTGCGCGTGCAATCTAATGTGCCACCAGATAGGAGTGGTGTGTTAAGTAGTACTATTCTTATCAGTTTAATCCCTGTTACGTCCCCTATCAGGGGACGTGTATATGGCATCGATTTTAGGAACCGGGAGATGGAAAAAGATGCTTGGTCAGTCCTCCTTCTTCAAATTTGGGGCACTGCGCTTGCAATCTAATGTGCCACCAGATATGAGTGGTGTGTTAAGTAGTACTATTCTTATCAGTTTAATCCCAATGTCACGACTACTAGTGTGGTCCAGCATGCAGAAACTATGTAAACATATACATAGGCAAGAAAAGGAAAATAAAAGGACAGAGCGTAAACTGGACCTTAGAATGGCCGGACAAATACGCTAGAGACAGAGAATGGTCAAAGGGAAAGCCGAGGGGGGCAGGCTCCTGCAAGAGGCAATCGCTGACCCGCCACCCCCCCTCCCCCGCTTACCCTGACACCGTCCAGCAATCCATGAAGAGGCTGGATGCCTTGTTCGGATGCTGGATGCCTTGTTCGACCGCTTCTGGGCCTCGCTGAAGCAAAGAACAGCTGCACGACCAACTCAGCCCCACACAGTGAACGGAATGACGAAAAGCAGAGGAGAGTGTAGGCCTACGCAGAGCCTACGCAGAGCCCTGTCCACACAGAAGCTCAAGCAACTCCTAACACAGGCTCTGCGGGGCCGAGAGTCAAAACTCCACAAAGACGCACTCACCGAATAAACAGAAACAGAATAAACCAAGACTCCGTGTCTCTCTCCTCCCCGAAAAGTCACAGGCACCACTAGCCAGATCCGTCCCACGGTGACATACTATATACGGCTATATTAAGATGCCTCACCCTCTGCACAAAGAGACTCCAACGGGCACCTCAGCAACACCCTGTACGTCTCCAGGAGGCGAAAAGGCATGGCACCGGAACTATCATGGCGAGAGACTCTCCCTCCGAGCCTCTTAGCGGCGTGGGCTGACAGCCACCAAGGGACGCTAAGATACCTGCTCTCAGGCACTAGAAAGTTCGGTTAATCCCTGCACGCAGCAAATAACCTGTTTATATACCCAGCGGTACACTCAAGCATTTAAACATATAATCTGTAAAGCGTGATACCCTTCTACTCAATAATCATTTATTACCTTGCATTTATTTTATGTATTTTATTTGACAGACGCGTATCAACCCTAGCCTGTTGTGTTGGCACTATGTTCTCTAACCGAGGCCACAAACAACCCAGCGACACAAACGCAAGAAAATGATAGCAAGTTAAAAATGTCATGTTACTGATCCCACTTAAGATTAGCAGAGTCTTTTTAGCTCCACACATAATGCATATATGTTTAGTTTTAACCAATGCTACGTCAGGGGCCTATCAGCTGCATATATGTTAGCCCATATTATGAACACTAGATAACGCTAGGGCAGACTGTGAGCTACTAAACTGTGAGTTAATAGACTGAGTTAATAGACCCTTTTTAGGACAGAAGCAAGCATGATAAGACGTTACAGGAGGGCATGAATGTTTATGCTAGAGCATTGCTTTCACACATATGTGTAACCCTGTCTACCAAATCTGTCAGGATGCTACAGGAATATTTACTTTTAAATAATTGGTTATCGCTTAGACATACCTACGTAACTAATATTACCTTTAAGAAAAATGTGCAAGTTTTCAGAGCCACTGTTCAACCCATCTATGTTTCCATATTATTCTTCGCTGTTGTGGCGCATGACTATGTTTTGTACTCACCTGCACAACCAAAATAAATAAAAAAAAAAAAAAGAGAAAACCGAGGTCAAGGAAGCCAGAAAATACGCAATACCGTTTACACAAGCCAAGTCAGGGAAACCAGAATTTAGAATAACCAGGGAAAAGCCAAGATCAGGATACCAGGAAATCAGATTCACAATGATAAAGCACTCTCAGGAAACCAGGAACAGGAAACCACGACAGGGCAAGGTACTGGGGTGAGCTAGGGATTTAAATATCACGCGGCGGGCCGGCAGCCGCGACACCCTGCTACGCCCCCCTCATCAGGCCTTTTTTAGTCGAATGTATCGCCCACTGTCAGTCCCTTTGGGATCCATCCCTCATTCATCTTAATAAAGGTGAGGTAATCTAGACTTTTTTGACCTAGGCGACTTCTCTTCTCAGTGACAATACCTCCTGCTGCACTGAAGGTCCTTTCTGACAGGACACTTGAAGCGGGGCAGGCCAGAAGTTCTATCGCAAATTGGGATAGCTCAGGCCACAGGTCAAGCCTGCACACCCAGTAGTCAAGGGGTTCATCGCTCCTCAGAGTGTCGATATCTGCAGTTAAGGCAAAGTAGTCTGCTACCTGTCGGTCGAGTCGTTCTCTGAGGGTGGACCCCGAAGGGCTGTGGCGATGCTCCCCATGTCCACCATCAACAACACGTCTGTAAAGCGTCCTGTCCTTGCCGGTGTGGTCGTGGGAGGAGGAGGATTACTTTCACCTCTTCCACTGTTAGATTCCCGTTGTGCTGTGAAATCACCCTTATGTCGTTGTGTAAAGCATACTTTTTAATTGATTTTGGAACTGCTGCATCCTTTCCGACTTGCCGTAATTCGGTAACATTTCAGGCACTTTCTGCTTATACCTAGTCTAGTAGCGTGGACACCCAGTACAGGTCGTTCTCCTTCAGCCTTTTTATACGAGGGTCCCTCAACAGGCACGACAGCATGAAAGACCCCATTTGCACAAGGTTGGATGCCGAGCTACTCATGTCCTGTTCCTCGTCCTCAGTGATCTCACTGAAGGTATGTTCTTCCCCCAGCCACGTACAACACCATGGGTACCAGATAGGTGACAACGAGCACCCTGGGATGCCTGTTGTGGTTGGTCTTCCTCCTCCTCCTCAAAGCCACATTCCTCCTCTGACTCCTCTTTCTCACAATCCTCTTCCAGCGTTCCAGGTCCAGCAAGCGATGCTGATAAGGCTGTTTCTGGTGGTGATGGTGACCACAACTCTTCCTCTTCCTTTTCACGCTCATCTACGGCCTGATCCAGCACTCTTTGCAGGGCACGCTCCAGGAAGAAAACAAATGGTATGATGTCGCTGATGGTGCCTTCGGTGCGACTGACTAGGTTTGTCACCTCCTCAAAAGGACACATGAGCCTACAGGCATTGCGCATGAGCGTCCAGTAACGTGGCAAAAAAATTCCCAGCTCCGCATAGGCTGTCCTAGCACCCCGGTCATACAAATACTCGTTAACGGTTTTTTATTGTTGGAGCAGGCGGTCAAACATTAGGAGTGTTGAATTCCAACGTGTCGGGCTGTCGCAAATCAAGCGCCTCACTGGCATGTTTTTGCCACTGGATATCTGAAAAGTGCGCCATGGCCGTGTAGGAACGTCTGAAATGGCCACACACCTTCCTGGCCTGCTTCAGGACGTCCTGTAAGCCTGGGTACTTATGCACAAAGCGTTGTACGATCAGATTACACACATGTGCCATGCACGGCACATGTGTCAACTTGCCCAAATGCAATGCCGCCAACAAATTTCTTCCGTTGTCACAAACCACTTTGCCGATCTCCAGTTGGTGCGGAGTCAACCACTGATCCACCTGTGCGTTCAGGGCGGACAGGAGTGCTGGTCCGGTGTGACTCTCTGCTTTCAGGCAAGTCAACCCCAAGACGGCGTGACACTGCCGTATCCGGGATGTGGAATAGTACCTGGGGAGCTGGGGGGGTGCCGTTGATGTGGAGCAAGACGCAGCAGCAGAAGAGGACTCAGCCGAGGAGGTTATGGAAGAGGATGGAGTAGGAGGAGTAGAGGAGGTGGCAGCAGGCCTGCCTGCAAGTCGTGGCGGTGTCACCAACTCCTCTGTAGAGCCACGCATTCCATGCTTGGCAGCCATCAGCTGGTTTACCCAATGCGCAAGGAGGACAGCAGTGGTTAACGTGGCTGAAGATGCTGGACTAGGAGGAGGATGGCGGTTTTGAGTTTGTGTGCTGCTTGTACTCATGTGTTGATCCCATAGGCGTTTGTGATGTGCGATCATGTGCCTTCGCAAAGCAGTTGTACCTAGGTGGGTGTTGGACTTCCCACGACTCACTTTCTTTTGGCACAGGTTGCAAATGGCATCGCTGTTGTCAGAGGCAGACACAAAAAAATGCCACACTGCTGAGCTCTGCAATGACGGCATTCTGGTGGTGGCAACAGCATGCGTTGATTGGCGTGCTGTCTGGCTGACCCCGGGTGCCGATGCATGCTGTCTGACTGTGCCACTAGCTCCTTGCGACGACCTCCCCCTGCTTCCAACTCATCTCCTCCTCCTCCTCTCTGTCTCCCCATCTGAACTTTCCCCCTGTTCTTCTTCTCTTCTAGAGGGCACCCACGTGACATCCACGGATGCATCGTCATCATCAACTGCTTCACTTGTATCTTACAACTCAGCAAAGGAAGCAGCAGCGGGTACAACATCATAATCATTACACCGTACGTCCATGTGTGTAATGCTGCCTGACTGAGACATATCCCTGTTATCTACATCCTCTGGCAATAATGGTTGTGCATCACTCATTTCTTCCAACTGATGTGTAAATAACTCCTCTGACATACCAAGTGAAGCTGCTGTGGTGCTAGTGTTGGTGGTGGCGGCAGGCGGGCGAGTGGTAACTTGAGAGGTGCCCGAAGCTAAGCTGGAGGAGGATGGTGCGTCAAGGTTCCGAGCGGAAGCTGTAGAAGATTGGGTGTCCTGTGTTAGCCAGTCAACTATGTCCTCAGAACTTTTCGGGTTCAGGGTACGTGGCCTCTGGGAATCACAGCACCACGACCACGACGGCCCCTGTGGGGTGGCCTGCCTCTGCCTGTCATTTTTTTTTCCGATTAGTGGTACTATGCGTGCAAGCTACTGTGACAACAGATATGAGTGGCACTGGGCAAGTGGGCACAGTAAACGCTGTGAGCCTGACACACACGCTTGCAGACAACTAACTGCTATTCAATCTATTACAGTCAAAATTTAATTTTTTTTTTTTTAAAATGTACACTACTGTTACACCAGATATGAGTTGCACTGGGGTGACACTGTGCCCTGGCAGGCCCTGAAACGCACACGTGTGAAGGAAACTGACTGCTATTATATTACAGTCCAAAAAGTTATTTTTTTGTTAAATGCAAGCTATTGTGACACCGGATATGAGTGATGAGTGGTGACACTGGGCAAGTGGGCACAGTATACGCTGTGAGCCTAACACACACGCTGGCACACAACTAACTGCTATTCAATCTATTACAGTCAAAAAAAAATTTTTTTTTAAATGTACACTACTGTTACACCAGATATGAGTTGCACTGGTGTGACACTGTGCCCTGGCAGTCCCTGAAACGCACACGCGTGAAGGAAACTGACTGCTATTATATTAGTTTTTTGTTTTTTTTTAAATGCAAGCTATTGGGACACCAGTGAGTGAGTGGTGGCACTGGGCGGGCCCTGAAACGCACACTCGTGAAGGAAACTGACTGCTATTATATTACAGTCAAAAAAGTTTTGTTTTTTTTAAATGCAAGCTATTGTGACACCAGTGAGTGAGTGGTGGCACTGGGCAGGCCCTGAAACGCACACTCGTGAAGGAAACTGACTGCTATTATATTACAGTCCAAAAAGTTTAGTTTTTTTTAAATGCAAGCTATTGGGACACCAGTGAGTGAGTGGTGGCACCGGGCAGGCCCTGAAACGCACACTCGTGAAGGAAACTGAC